TTGTAGAAGACGACAAACATCGTTAACAGTAGTAAGAGTTTTGTACCGAATTGTATCGAGCAATACAAAATTCAAAAAATGATAATCATTTTTTTAAATCTCTTGTTTGGCTGAGCTGCTCACTGGTCAGATCCAGATTTTTTATGATATGTTTAAAAGCTGCCAACATTTCTCTCGGCCTTTTGGCAAGTGGTTTGATCAAGTTGGTATGAGATCTCCATCTTGTCAGAGAAAGTCTATGCAGTGAAATTCCAGTTGCCTTAGTGAGAATTTTCTATCGGATTAGACTTGGACTAAAAAATACGCTCCAAGATTGAACATTTTTGAAGAATACTTTGATCTCAATGGCTGATCAACTGCGAGCACACCAGCCAAAATCAGACTGTGAGCGCTACAGGGAACGTACAGAGCTTCTGGATAATTTAGCCTTATCAAGCCCTGATCTCCCTTGTAAGCACCTGACCTACTGGACCCATCATCGTGTCCCTGACCACTATATTTTTGAACATCCATAAATAGCCTTAAAATCACATTAGTGATAAGCTTAGCTATATCAAATCCTTTCTTCGTCTCAAAAGTGTCAACACATTGTTCTTTAATTTTCCAGCAATTAATTTCTTTTTCATAGAGGAGAAAACGAATGACAAAGGTTATCCGCTCAGTATGAGATACATTAGGGGTACCATCAACTATGGTTTTGAAGTAGATACCACCCTTAATTTCTTCGACAGCTGCACTTTGGATAACACCTTATTCTTTGGTGAACTCATTTTGAGACGACGGAAAGAAATAATAGGCACTCATTGTGGAGCCTTCTTGTTGATGTAGTCATTATAATTATTGTATACATTTTCTAAGTGGGATGTTACAAACTATTTTAATAGTTATATAAAAAATTAAAATTGATATTGAGATATTGAGATATTGAGAAAAATTTATAATGAGCTCCTAAAAAAGCTTCTTGTCCAGAGAAACCGCTATTGAAGAAGTTGGAATATTTTTTTAAATGATTTTTTCCTTTTGTTATAGTGTTTACGGCTTGCATCAATCAAATTACTGTGTCTTCCAAACAGCTGACTCATGCGAACAATAATGTCCACAATTTTCAAAAATATATAAATTACCATTTCTTTAATATAAATAAAAATAAAAATAAACATACAAACTTACAATGGAAGAGTTCTTAAACTTAAAAAGTAAAACATTTTAAGTAATTCATTAAATTTAAACATGTAATAATTTTTTTATCAAAAAGCAACAAGTAATTGCAAATTTTGACTAGTTCAATATTTATGTTGCTAAAAAGTGAAAAAATTTTATAATAAGAAAGAAATAAGTTAAAATCATCAGCAAACATAACTGTCATTAGGTTAGAAGATTTTGATAGATCATTAAAATATATATAAGAAATAGGAGAGGTCCTAATATGGAACCTTGAGGAACTCCACATGAAGTATTTAACAAACTAGATCATATGTTATCATCAGCATAAACAAATTGTATTCGATTATTTAAACAACTTTTTAGCCAAACTAATATATTTCCAGTAATTTCGTACCACTCCAACTTTTATTAAAAGAATTACGCGATCAATTGTATCTGAAGCTTTCGTCAAGTCAATTAAAACACCTAAAGTTAATTCCCTAAAGTTAAATTCCTTAGAAGCCATGAAAACAGTCACATTCAAAATTTCACGAAGAATTGTCAGCCGTTTAGCTGTCTCAGAGTTTATTTACTTATGGAGCTCTAAATATTTACCAGTGGAGCTGGTAAGACAAATGTAGGTCTCTTTCCAATCATTGTAGAACCTTTAGTGCAATTGGCTGCATTTATGCTGCTTCAGATGACTTATGAGTTTCCTCCGTTGATCTCTAGCTCCTCAGTTTCAACGAAGAGGGGACAATTAGTCGCTTTTAAATACTGCTTTTGTGCTGGAGATCTCTTTAAAATAATTACATCTTGATTTTTTTGACTCAAAACAACTGCCCACAAAGAAGAGTTAACATTAATTATTACCAAGTTAAGTTGAACCTTGCATTCTCCACTGTTAGATAAAATTCCTTTTTGTGACTCTAATGATTCACTTTGAAATTTATTAAGCTGAACTTGAGGGAAATTGTTTAATCCCCCACTGATCCACAGTCCTTCTAATAACATATTGAGTGCAGAAATTACCCATATTGAGTGCAGCCAAAATGCAAAAACTCATATATTTGATAACTGGCCGGGTTCTGGTAGAGTCAAGGCCGCTTATATGTCTGAAAAATACAATTCTAAGATTCTCTATTTCGCCTCAACAGTCAAATACTACTTAAAAAAACAGCGCTTTTATTGTGAAATCGACCACAACTGTCTCGTTTGCTTCAACTTCTTCAAAAACCGTATAGTTAAAGGAGTTGAACCAAACCCATGGAACGCACTACTTATTGAAGTTTTCAGTGCTATCTGTATCAACTTCATCAAAGCAAAACTTGATGAGTTACCATTATTATTACCACAGCACATAATCTTCCTTACAATCGAATATGAGCTAGCATTGCTAAATGTTCATGGGCTTACGGAACACGCCCTCTTCTGTCTAATTGTACAATAGCTAAATCCTATTTTTTTCGTAAAAATTAGTTTATTACTAATTATAAGAATAGAATTTAAAACGTAAATTATTTTTTTCATGTGCAAATTTATTCCAAATACTAAAGTTTCAATCTTAAATACAAAAACTAAGCAGATTTAAGATTGTCAGTCATTAAAATGTTTTATATTTCCAAAATTAATTTAGTAAAATGGTTGTCGAATTAAATTGTCATTTCTCAAATTGTATTTAATTTTATCTTTCAAGGTATATATATTATGGAAAGTTTCTTTCATGTTGCTCGTCATATCAATTTTAAAGAGAGATTTACTCATGTCAGGCCTCTTTTATTTGAAATGAAAATTTTTAATATATATCAGCTCAATGTTTTTAATACTTTTTGTTTTATGTACAAATATAAAGTTAATTCCTCCCCAGTTAACTGTGGAGGAATTAATTTTATACATTAATTTTGTAAATTAATTTTATGTACAAATATAATGTATTTAATTTTATACATTAGTTTTATGTACAAATATAAAATTAATTCCTCACCAGTTAACTGGGTAGTAATTATTTTTATATTTGTACATAAAACAAAGAGTATTAAAAATATTGAGCTGATATATATTAAAAATTTTCATTTCAAATAAAAGAAGCCTGACATGAGTAAATCTGTCTTTAAAATTGATAAGACGAGCAACGTGCCTCTGTTGACGATAAAAAGGTTCCAGTTTACTTTTATTGGTAGTAAGCCAAGCAATATTTGCGTTGTTTAAATGATAATGGATAAAAGAAATATATAATTGTGTTAAACTTAGTTTTTTAAAGCATTTTTAACCTTATTTAGTATTTATTTTACTTTTTATTTGGATTTTGTCTATAAAAAGTAAGGGCATGTCGGGAGGCAGTAGTTTCTTTTTAGAAGTCGGATGAAACAGGGCCCATTTTATTTTTTTGAAATCTAGTGACATTTTATTCATTTTGAACCATTCACAAATTTTCGCTAATTTAATGTTCATATTTTGAAATAATCTTATAATACTTTTATGCGATAAAAAGAGATTAGTGTCATCAGCAAACCTGACAGTCATTAAATTTGATGCTCTAGGGAGATCATTGATGTAAAGAAAGAAAAATAAAGAGTAGTGGTCCGAGTGTAGAGCCCTGGGGAACTCCACAGGTTATATGTAATAAATTAGTTGTACCAGTTTTATTACTACAAACAAACATTAGTGTTGTATCGACTTTGACAAAATTGACTAAAAGTTGACTAGTCGAATGTCGAATTGACTTTGAAAAATCGAACAGTCGATTTAATCGACTATGGGTTTCCTACTAATTGATTAAAAGTCCATTTGATTAAAAGTCCATTTGATTAAAAGTCCATTTATTTGAGTAATAAACTTTAAATCCTTATATCCAATTTATATTCAACTTATATTCAATTTTTATTTTTTGTTTATTTGATAAGAATGTACTATCATAACTGTTGTCTACTGTTTTTTGTGTACTCTCCTTAGGTTTTATAAAATTTATAGATTATTAGCAATATTTATACCTAATTAAACATTCGGTAATGTATTTTATTAACTTTTGTACATGTATATATATATATATATATATATATATATATATATATATATATATATATATATATATATATATATATATATAAGGCTCGGGGCCTTAGGGTAAAATTAAATCGCGAAGCTCTAAAGTCAAGATGCAGTCATCAATGTAATAACATTGTAAATATGATTAAGTAGACTTTTTGATATTCAGCAAGAATTTAAGGCGGTCCCTAAATAATTGTGGTCTAGGAATAAATCATCTTGTTTTCGGAGAGCCCCTACTCTCTTTTTTTTCTCCATAATTTTTTAAATGTGGTGTTAAATAATAGAAAACAATCATAAATTACTTTATTTTTATTACAGATTATTTCGAAAAAAAAAATTTATTCAGATTATTCGACTATATCGGCTCAGTCAATTTAAAAAATGTATTAGTCGATTTTAGAAAATATAGTAGTCAATTTAGTCGACAGTCGAGTTATTTAGGAGTCGTAATAACACTAATAAACACACTTAAACCTTCATTTTTCGACCATTACGTAATGTTCATAGAGATTAGACTAGAAAAAACAAAAGAAAAAAGACAATATTCTTTATTATCAGAGGGGGCTGTAAAGTACGTTACGGAATTAGGTATGCGGAGATGAAATTTTTACCTGCCTTAAGTTTGTATTTTATGGAAAATTCTAAAGGAGCTCACAAAGTAGTAATGCGGCACTGGCTATGGAATGTTGAAATTAAATAATGCTGTTTTTGAATGAAAAAGAGAAGATATATTTTTAATGTTTCATATATTATATAAAAAATACTATACTGTAATACAATATTATTTTTTTGCTACAATATAAATAAAAAATTCTATTTTTTGTTTTTATAGTGTTACTAATTTTCTGTGATCTTAGAAAAATTTAACAAAAAAACAAAAAAACAAATCATCGTTAAGAAATATAAAACGGATAAATACAAAAAAAAATTCAGATGAAAATCTTTCAATTGTATTAGGTGAAGTTACATATTTTAAACATAAACTTTTATTATCAATTACTGCGATGTTATACTGATGCAGCTGTTTAAAAAATGGTCGGAGTATAAAAATCCAACTGGAAAGCGTCTTTTTTTTTTTAATTTATATAGACGGTTAATAATTCTTTTTTTTTTTATATATTTCTTAACTACTAACAACAGATTTTCTACTAAGGTTGTATTTTCTCAATCACCTCAAAATTTTCAAAGTTGGATCTTTTATGCGTTTATCCGTCTAATCGTTTAAATATTAGGCAAACTTAGAATAATTTATATTATTAAATAAGTATTACGATGTAACATTAGTAATTTCAAAACAAATAAATAATTTATGCTGTATTTTTGTGGGTTGATATCATTTTTTTAGCACACTTACACTTTTAGACAAAGCTGGCAAACTAGCAACCATAGGTGCAACATGAGGCGTGTCTAGCAGTTCATCATCAGAAGGAAACTCAAATACTCCCATTTCGCCAAATGTTTTGGGTTCATTTCTTGACGGATTTTTCTCAAATAATTCTGACATTAAGGCTAAATATTGCCCGCGCCCGAAAGATTTTTTTACAATCGGAGTTTTTATTTCTTCATTCTTAAATGAAGCAGTATTATTATACGTCGAACTTATGTTTTTACTAGATGACATCGTTTTTTCAGTATGATTTTTAAATGAACCATTTTTATTCGAATTTGTTGCGTGTTGTTGAAACTCTTTAGGGTTAGAATTTTCATTCTTAACAGGTCGTAATAAATTACGCAACATAGTTTTTCCAGAATTCGTCAATGTATGGGTATGCCTTTTACTTAAAGGCTTTCCTACTTTTGAAGAGAAAAAATCGTCATTTGAATCAGAGGTTGATGACATCGTATTATCATCCAATGCATTTAAATTTACTTGGTTATATTTCGAGAATTGAAAAACAGATAAATCCTCAAAATTACCATTACTAAAAGTCTGATGAACGGAACTGTTAACTCCAATATTGAATCTTTCGTTTTCATCTTTATCATAAAAATTTCTAGTCGCATCGAGTATACGCGCAGTTTCTTTAGGACTGTTTTCTTCGTCTTTCCGTTTTAACACTGGCTTAGTTGGATCAATTAAGGGAGAACTTGTGTTGTCTAAGCATTCCACAATTGAACCATGCTTTTCTTGGTACTTATCATGAAAGTTTACGCCGTCATCCCAACCGCTTCTTACATTTTCTGCAGGAGTATCAGAGGTTTTATCCTTATAATGCTGTTTACTATGCTTTACAAACCGTTTGGAGCGATTCTGTTTTAAATATGAAATATGAGAGAACTCACGAGGTAATTTCTTTGAGTTAACCTATTATTTAAATTATAAAGCATTTAATAGTTTTTTATATAATGTTAGATAAGCAATATCTTTAAATTATACAACTTTATTACATTATACAAATTAATTTAATATACTATTTTAAAAAACTTGTAGTGTAAAGCAAAAAGTAATGATGATTTGTTACATAAATGTTTTTATTTTTTTTCAAATTGTTTTTTATGAAATTTATAATATGAATATTAAATAAAGTATAGCAAATAAATAAAAAACAATAAAATAATGAAATTTTCGTGTACTTGTTATCCTCAACAATATAATTATAAAATGCCTAAATGACTTACACTAATCTGATAAACTGATGGGTAATATCATTTGATTTGCAAAAAATATAATAGTTATATGCTTGGCCCAGGCAAATACTTAAAAATTAATTTTAGTGAGGTGGAATAGAAATAATACCTGGACAAAAATCATACAAACTTGGACTTTTGCACATAAGTTAGTTAGCATGTCATAAATAACCAAAAATAAAGCCTTGTGTTTTTTAAAACAGGAAATGTCATTTTAGACTAATTTTTTAAACACAAAGTTGGTCAAAAATTTTTAATATTGCTTAAATTATAAGTTTTATATATCATTTGAAAAATGCTGAGTAAGAAGTACAATTGTCACAATTCTAATTTTGTATAATATTACCATTTAAAAGTTAACTTAATGCAGAGTAAAATACTTGCTTAGGTCGTTACGTAAAAACTTATTGCTTTTTACGAAACTTTATTCTCAATAAAATAATAAAAAAAAAAAAAAAAAAAAATTTAGTTATACGATAATAATTGGATATTTAACAAATATAAAAAAACAATAGTTATAAACAGCTTACAAATTCCTTATTCTCGTTTAGCAGAATTTCCTTAGCTTGACTAAAAAATTTGAGTAATCTAAACTTTACAAAGTTCAAGTCTATTTAAAATTTTTTTTTTTAAAAAAACCTTAAAATGGATAATGAAGTCTCTTGACGTACGTTGTGTAATTATTTGAACACTTTGATTGATGATTCTGCAATTTTGTTGTCTGTTGCCCAGTAGTTAATGTTAGGAAAATCTCCCTCGTACTTTCTGATGGCAAAGGAAACTTGCTTTTCATTTTTAAGAGTATTAATGTAGTGGAATCACACCCAGCTCATATACTGAATGGGTTAGCTCAAGTACATTGCTGACACTAAAGCTCAAAATCTTTTCTTTCTTGTCCAGGTAGTTAAATTTGTGACTTGTTTTCCAGATAATCCAAATTACTTATCTCTTTTCATCATTGCAAAAATCATTGTAAAAATGTCTAAAGTTCATTTTCTAAAATTACTAAATTTCTTATTTTATTTCTTATATATACTTTCATTCAGACATCCCCAACAAACAAGTTAATCTACTGTTAGGCATTCTAATCATTTTCTCTTTCTTTGCTAAAGTTATTTGTCAAAAATTTCTACAGTATGTAAAAGGTCATTGGTCCAGATAACATTTTTTCACAATCTTCATGAAAATCTTACCTCTGATTTTATATGTTGATAGTATATTCCAGATTTAATAGAAAGTCATAACTTTTTTAACATCACTAAATGTGATCTCTCCTCCACACAGAGATAGATATCAGGAATGTGATGCAGTATTACCAGGGATGGTAGTACTGCATCACATTCCTGATATATATTTTTAATATAGTACTACCCTGGAAGTAACTTGCTTCTAGCCTCCTTGACTGTGGCAAAAACAGTCATAAAAAAATTTGTAATGATGAACTTCAACTTAACATATCTCAGTTGTTTACTGTCAAGCATTTTCTCAACATTGTTGACATTTCTATACTGTATGTCAATTTTTAAATTGAGGTTTAGACTAAGAAGATAATATATACTAAGTACTTTTTTTTAATTAAAAAAAAATTTAGGGTCCACAACTTCGATAAAGTTGAAAGAAAATCCTTTTTTACTGTCTTTTTGAGTATTTTTGCAAAAAATGTTAACAAACATATTTCATAACGACTTTAGTTTTTCACACAATATTATTCACTATCTAATTTTTATTGTATAAAAAATTCAACTTGAAAAAAAAAATAATTTAAGGGTCCCTCCGAATTAAATAGTCACATGGTTTTGTAAAGGCTTAAATTTTTGGACAATAAAAAAATGTATTCATAAAAGATTTTATATGATGGAAACATGTACCAAAATAAAACATTTGATTGTCTTATTTCAATCATTATCATTAAACAATAGGTTTGGGCATTCTCCTTTAACAATGGCTTGGCCATTCTGTATGAGGATTTTTTTTTGTGCGTTGATTCTTTAGCCAACACACACATAATTTTGTAAGTTTAAGTTGTTTGCTTTAAGATGTTTGTTTTCACAGTAAGTTTAATAAAAGAATTAAGGTGTTTGTTTTAGCAGTAAGTTTAATAATTAACATTATTATTATTTAATTTTAATATTGAATAATAAGATTCAGACATAATCAATAATATAATTTGTTTAAATAATAATTATTATTATAATATAATTTGTTTAAATAGCTATTATTATAATATAATTTGTTTAAATATTTTAAGAGATTAGCCTTAGCGTTTTAAACTCTTTATTTACTTTAAGCTTTTTGTGTTTACAGTAAGTTTAATATACGAATTAAGATTAGAAATTATTTGCTAAAATAGTGTTCCAAAGAGATTAGGCTTAGTGTTTTAAAATTTTAAATGCTAGGCTTAAAAAAGTTGCTCTTTTTTTACTAACACAATTACTGCCTGATTTCATTCAAAGGCATCTCAATTAGTAACTCAGTCATGTGCTTCTGCTGATGCTTGTACAGTGTTTTTTCTGTTGTCACCACAAAAATAGATCTACGTTGTCGTAAACTACTAAAACAAACATCTTATAAAAGAGAAATATTATTCAATGGAAAAAAAAGAAATCCATGTAAAATCATCATGAAGTTTATTGTCTTTGAACTAGAAAAAAGTTTAAGTATCTTCATAAAACTTCCCCCTTAAAATTTCTATGCTCAGAAGAAACCTCTACCTTAGAGAAATCAACAAGGTAAAACAACAATCCCAACAAAAAAACATTTTCAAATATATCTTGATTGAATTACTAGATATTTGGAATAGAGCTCATTAACCAGTTAAACCAGATAAAAAGTGCACCAAGTATTTCTTTGCGGTTTTTAACTAATGGCAAAGTGTGTTGAAGAAGAAACAAGACCAGTTTTTGGAATCAATTAATAAACTGTATGACATATCAGCTTCTGACACATATTACATTTTATGTGTATCTCGACTTGCAACGTGGAAGGAGGACTGGGAGTTTTTACTGAACCAACAGAAGTACCCACAAGTAATTTCATGCATCATTTCAACCATGTTACTGTACTGTATTTACTTAAGGTAATTGTTTTCATTTTACATCAGTATTGTATTGTTTATCTATAATTAGGTTGGTTCAATAATTGGTTACAACAACAGAGAAGAACAAATCTGATCACAATGAATACCTCAAAGAGTCAACGCCCACAGCACAGCTAAACAAAGAAAAACAACTTTAAGTGATAAAGAAATAGAAATCCTTTAGAAAAATGTGGATGTCAACTGTTGTTATTCAAATTGATCCTATAACATTTTAAAAAAGTCTCATAAGAGATTAAATGGCAGTTGAAGCAAAAATCATCAAAGTTTTTGTTGCTTCTTAACATCATTTTCCAATCTGGCGATCATTAGTTTACCATAACTGTAAGGTAGTACAAGAAAAAAAAGTGCCCAAATAAAAGAGAAATTTCAGCTAAAGAACCCTCTTTATCCATTGACTTACTGGGATTCGAAACTTATTTTGTCACTTACTGGTAAATGAATAATTTCTTACTAGCTCACTGGGTAAATGAATGATTAATTTATTACTAGCTCACTGTTTTAAGTGTTCGGAAATAAAATACTAAAAAATAATAAAATATTCTAAAATAAACATTTTTTGTTGAAAGAAAAAAGAGCATGTTGCTAGTCTGGCAAATGGTTGGGATGGATCATCAAACAATGCAAACAAAAAAGTCATGTACTAGTCATGCCCAGAAAGATGCTTTCGTCAAGTGTTTTTTTTTTTTTTTGTGGAAACTGTATAGTACTTTAATTTCCTTTGTTTTTAACATTACTTTGAGAAACATTGGTTAAAAAGGAAATAAGTCATGCACTGTTGCAGACAGCTTGTTGCTATCATGTTTGAAAACTGAATATTCGTCACGTCTGGGATGCAGTTAGTGGAAATCATAACAGATCAATTGAGTCAATTTTGAAAATGTGACAAGACATTTGGGAAATGACCGAGGTTGATATATGACTGGGGCTGGGTTTGATAAAATATAGCCGGGGCCGGGGTCGGCGCCTGGTTTGTGACTGAAGCTGCATAAACATTTACACATCCTAAATCATATATATATATTTTAAAGTTCATGTTATATTTTGTATATATATGCATATATAAACATCATTATGATCAACATGATCATCATCACTACCACCATTATCATCATGATCAGCATGATCATTATCATCATCATCAACAGCATAACAGAGGAAAGCTTGACAATGATGATGATAATCATCATCATCATTATCATCATGATCATCATTATCATCATGATCATCATTATCATCAGGCTTTATCCTTCCTCTTTTAAGTTGTTTCTCTAACGTAAACAATCTAGAACATATTTTTTTTTCTAAATCTCATTTATACAATATGTAAGGCACTCTCTTCAAATTTTCTTACTTCTACCATAACTATTTTCTACTGAAGCTGCTACCACCTTACATGTTGATACCTAAATTACTTTAATCTTTTCTAACAAACGTTGTTTGATACTTTTTTTCTTATCTATCTAAGATTAGGCCTCTTTTTCTTGTTTTGCAAGTCACACCACACATCCATTTTGTTAGCCACACCACACATCCATTTTGTTAGTCACACCACACATCCATTTTGTTAGTCACACCACACA